ATATATGTCTTTATATTAATTAAAAAATAAATATAAAATAAAAAGGAGTGGCTTTTTTTAGTAGTGTGCAGTGGTCTTTGATCTGTGTTGGTTTATATAGTTTTTTACTAGTCTGTTCTGGTCTACAGAGGTCTTCATTGGTTTGTAGCAATCTATAAACCACACTGATGTGTGGTTTAACTGGTCTGTGCTGGTCTACAGAGGTCTGTAGTGGTCTTTACTGTTTTGTGCGAATCTTTTAATTTGCTAGTCTCCTTTTTATCCACGTTTGCTCATCTGTCTGAACCTGAAAATGGAGATATTACTGCAGCAAAGGAGACAGTAGCCTGAGAAGAAGGATTCCTGCTGTCTGTGTCTTCTCTCAGAATGGTCTAATCGTGCCGAGCAGTCGTGAGTTTGTGTCTGTGGACGTGTGTTTCACAGGCTGGGCTGGAACTCGCTGACCGTTTGCGCTGCGAGGTTTATTTTGTTGCCATGACAGTCTCACATCATGACGTCACCGTACACAGACAGACACCCACAGTAATACAGACAGACCAAAGAGCAGTATTCAACACCATCAGCACGTCTCTGCCATTTCACACTGGTTTAAATCTTAATTAGATGAAAAGAAGTGCTCAGAAAGTTAAAGATCGGCATTCAGCCATGCAGCAGTTTGATACTTAGGGGTTTTCAGAGTCAATTTGACTTCGAAAACTCCTCAGAATCATTAACTAAACCTTTTATCACAACTTTTCATATTACAATAAGGTGGTATATAATGAATTTATTTTTATTTCATTCATTTTAATGCTTCAGCTTAAACTTATTTTAGTTCAGTTAGTTGCCAAACAGCTTTTCTGATTTTTAAGTTTATGATATTTTAAATATCGAATATTTGTAATTAATTTAATTTCGGCTTTATTTCAATTACCGAAAATTATTTGTAATAGTTGTAGATTTAGTTAACGATAACAGCACTGTAAAAGAGCAATGACTGTAGACTCGATTGAACTCTTGAAAACGGTTTAAATCGTATTATCTAAAAATATTTTTATAATGATAATGTTAAAGTTTTGAGAGTATGAGCAATATGATGATAACTAAACCTTTTGTTACATATTTTCATATTTTAATCATGTGGCATATTTATATTAATTTTAAATAATTTTTTATTAATGTTTTTATTTCTATTTAGCTTTCATTTATTTTTGTTTAATTTTTAGTGCTTCAACGTAAACTTGTTTTATTTCAGTTAGTTGTAAAGGCTTTTTAAACTTTTAAAATTAAGTTTAAGTGGAATTTTGTCTAGTATTTTATTTATTTAGTTTTTTATATTTCTATTTAGCTTTATTTTTATTATATTTTTAGTAATTTTAGTGCTTCAACTTGAAGTGACCCTGGACCACAAAACCACAATTTTTTGAAATTGAGATTAATATATCATCTGAAAGCATAATAAATAAGCGTTCTATTCTAATTTCTAAAACTATTTGAAAATCTGGAATCTGAGGGTGCAAAAAAATCGAAATATTGAGAAAATCGCCTTTAAAGTTGTCCAAATGAAGTCCTTAGCGATGCATATTACTAATCAAAAATTAAGTTTTGATATATTTACAGTAGGAAATTTACTAAATATCTTCATGGAACATGATCTTTACTTAATATCCTAATGATTTTCGGCATAAAAGAAAAATCGATAATTTTGACCCATACAATGTATTTTTGGCTATTGCTACAAATATACCCCAGCGACTTAAGACTGCTTTTGTGCTCCAGGGTCACATATTTTATTTCCAAGGCAACATTTCAAATTTTTACGCTTTCCAGTTACCAAAAATTATTTTTAATAGTTTTAGATTCAGTTAATGACAACAACACTGCTAAAGAACGATGATTTTAGTCTTCATTAAACTTTTTGAAAACTGTTTAAAATGTATTAGCTAAAA